ATGTCACGGTTCCGCCGCAGGGCGCGCAACCAGGAGGGTTCATGTATGGTCTCCCCCGCGGGCTCGCGTTGGCTCGCGGGCGTCACGCTGGCCTGTTGCTTCGGCGGTGCTGGCGCAGTCATTGAGGACCGCGGGGGCATCAAAGTCGTATTCGGCGGGACCCGGGTCTCCATCCGCCCGTTGGGCGGTCTTGGCGTGCATTCTGACGGCCCAGTCGTCGTTAGAGGTCTGCAGCGGGAGCGGTCGTCAAGTTTTAGATCAAGTCCCGCCATTTTTCTGCCAGCCCCGTCGGGCAAATTCGAGCCACCCAAGCTCGAGTCTTGCGTCCCCCCGAGAGGAGAGCGCCGATGACGTCGTTTCCGTCTCCATAGAAGACGACCTGGTCCTCGCCACTTTCTTGTTCCAGCGCGGCGTGCGCGGGTTCTGGGGGGACAAAACTGTACTGATACCGTTGCTCCCTAGACCTGTCCAGGGGTGCGTTCGGACGAGAATTTCCAGAGGAGTCCAGTGGCGGCGACGAAGGGAGGTCGATGACCCTCGGGACGTGCCGACATGCCCCGTTCAGCTCCGCCGACAGCACGCGGCCCGCAGCCAGTGCCGGCCCCCACAGTGCACCGCCCAATCTGTTCCCAAAGTGCTAACACATGGCTTAAACATGTTTCGAACATGTTTTGTTCAAACCATGTAGAAGACATGGTAAAGGCACTTGTAGTTCAATGATGGAACGGTTAGACTGTCCATCACCAGGGAATCCACGAAGCGAGCAGGGGCAGCGGTATCCGTACCTCATCCTCTCCTGAGGTACCCGCCCGGCCACGCCAGGCACGGCGGGGCCGACGTCGGGCAGCTTCCGCAGTGGGGCCGGGGCGCCCCGACAGCCAGGGCCCAGCTCCTGGGCGTTGGGAGGCTCGGGTGCGGCGGCCCGGCCGGCCCCCCCCCTCCCAGAGGCAGCCCCCTCGCCCTCGCTCCAAGACGCGGGCCGGCGCCTGGAGTGAGGCGGGCCTAGCAGGGCGCTTTCCGACTCCTCCGGGCCGATTCGAAACGATTTCCCAGGGTTCCGACTCGATCCGACTCGATGCGAACATTCCGATTCGCGATTCCGATTTCGAGTTCGCCCGATCCGACTCCTGCCGATTCGATGCGTCTGCCGACTTCTGCCGATTTCCTGCCGATCCGGCTTCGCTCCGGCTCTTGGATGGTTTAGAAAAGGCGGAGGAGGAGGAGGAGGGGGAGGAGGGGGAGGAGGAGGAGGAGGAGGAGGAGGAGGAGGAGGAGGAGGAGGAGGAGGAGGAGGAGGAGGAGGGGCAGCCAGGTGCTCACGTGCGTCCTGGAGCGCCCTGGGGCCACGGACGGGCGCTTTCCTCGTGGCCACGGCTGCGTCCTCCTCGAAATGTTTGTCGAACGGTCCGTCCCGCGGTCCAGGGTGTCCGTCCCACGGTCCGGGGGGTCCGTCCCACAGACCGGGGGGGGGGGAGTCCTGGGTCCTCGGGGGGTCTGTCCCACAGACGGGGGGGGGTCTGCGCCCCACAGACGGGGGGGGGTCTGCCCACAGACGGGGGGGGTCTGTCCCACTGACGGGGGGGGTCTGCCCCACAGACGGGGGGGGTCTGTCACAGACGTAGGGGTCTGTCACAGACGGGGGGGGGTCTGTCCCACAGACGGGGGGGAGCGGTCTGTCACAGACGTAGGGGTCTGTCACAGACGTAGGGGTCTGTCACAGACGGGGGGGGGTCTGTCCCACAGACGGGGGGGGGTCTCTGTCCCACAGACGTAGGGGTCTGTCACAGACGTAGGGGTCTGTCCACAGACGTAGGGGTCTGTCCACAGACGTAGGGGTCTGTCCACAGACGGGGGGGGTCTGTCCACAGACGGGGGGGTCTGTCCACAGACGTGGGGGTCGGTCCACAGACGGGAGGGTCTGCCCCACAGACGGGGGGGTCTGTCCCACAGACGGGGGGCGGTCTGTCCCACAGACGTGGGGGTCTGTCCCACAGACGGGGGGTCCATGCCACGGTCCGCTGGGGGTCCCTTGGGGCCCTTTGCAACGACGCGCGTGCGACGTTTACGATGACGTGCGACGGAGAGCGACGAAAATGCATGCAACGACGTTCGCGACGACGTGCGATAACGTGCGACGACGTCTTCCCTCCCAGCCTTCCGATTTCGATTTCGATCCGGCTTGACGGGATCCGGTTTCCGACTCGATCCGACTCGGCCCTGCCGACTCCTGCCGATTTCGACTTGGCAGCCGATTTCTGCCGATTCCTGCCGATTCGATGCCTCGGTCGACCCGATCCGGCTTATCGATTCGATGCTGGGGCCGCCTGGCCTAGAGTGAGTCGGGCGCTGCGTAGTGCGGCGGCGATAGACGGGGGAGAGGAAGAGAGGTGGCCATGGTGGGAGTGATCGGGCGTTGCGTGATAGGGGGTTGAAGAAAGGTGCACCTCTTGTGCCCTGAAGGGACGCCCTGCGGCGCAAAAGGGGCACGAAAGGTACACGTTGCCTGTCCCCCCTCTCATCAATCCCCCCCCCGTCCAGCAACGTCCAGAGTCAGGATGAGTCGCTCTGGAGCGTTCCAGGGCGCTCTCAGAGCGTTCCAGGGCGCTCTGGAACGGCAGCGGCGCCCGATCCCTCTTCCAGACCCGCCAGTTCTCAGAGATTCCAGATGCTTTCTCGTCCGAATGTGTCGACTCATCCTGCGTTCGTCCCCAGACACCCGACGCGAGTTGAGCCTCGAGGGCGAGGGGTCGCCACGGAGGGGGCTCGACGCGGAGGGGGCTTGATGCGGAGGGGGGTCGGTCGGGCTGCGCTCGAAGAGGCGGGCCCGGGGGGCGGCCGTGTCCGACGACTACAGCGACTACCCAGGGGAGTCTGTCGCGGACTTCTGGGGCAACTTCAGGGGGAATAATTTCATAGGCTCAGGGTGGGGCGACGATCTCGGAATCGAGATTCGAGGTTTTCGGATGATTTCGTCGGTCCTCGGCGGTTTTCCAGCCTCGGGGTGCGTCACAGCGGCTGCGCCTCGCCAGGAGCGTCCCGCGCCGCCCCGATCGCCCCGAACGGCCGCTAGAGACCAGAGTGAAAAAACTTGGGGGGCAACGTCAGGGGGGAATCTGCTCAGGGGGCGACGCATCGACACTCAATCGCTCATTCATTGCCGATGGGGGTCCGATAGCCCACCCCGCCAAGGAATGTACAATCTCGCCATCAGAAGCCTATCGCCGATCTATCGGCAGTGCATCGCCGATGCAAGCTCGATACTCCCTCCCCCCACCTCAGCTGGTTCCCTGATGGTTTTCGGGTCACAGCTCGGGCCACGGGCAGCCGTTCGGGAAGATCTGGGCACCACCAGAACGCTCGCAACGAGGCGAGGCGCAAGAAGCCATCCCGAGACCAGACAGCCGTCGAGAAGCACCGAACATGTCCGAAAACCTGGGACCCTGCAATCTCGCCGCGAACATCAAGCCGTAAGGCTAATGTTCCCCCCCCCCCATGAACAGCATCCCGAGGCTGGAAGGCATCCCGAGGCTGGCAAGCCGCCGACAACCAACGAAAGCGTGCGAAAACTCGAACTTCGAAACTTCGCCCGCCCCCCCCCCCCTTAAGAGACAGTTTTTTATCCCCTGGCGGTAACGGGCTTGACCAGGGGAGGGGGAAGCGGCCGGTCACGTCGCGATCCGTGCCAGCCGGCGCCGTTTGGGAATGCTTCGGAATGGTTGGTTCCCAGGCGACGCGGGCGCGAGTCGTGATGGGGTCGGGGCCGATCACGGGCGTGATCGCAAATAGTATATGGACGAGATCTCACGTTGCTCTTCGAAACTTCGTCCCCCGCTAACGGCCCCCCCCCCTGCGGTCGGGAACTTTTGGATTGCCTGTCGCTCCGCCAGTTCTGGTCCACCGCGCTTCGGCGCGACACCCGATCCACTTCCCTACTTCCGAGCGTCAGCGTCCCAAGCCTTTTTCAGCCTCCCTGCTCGCGCAGGGGAGCGACACGCCATCCGCTCGCAGGACAGCGTATCGCCGGGGCCGCCGCCACGACACGCTACCCAAGAGTTCACGACGCCCGCCGCCACGAAATGTTATCGTGAACTCTTGGATACTCTTATCTCCCTGATTTAACGTGGGTGGTGTAATTTTCACCAGTCGCGTTTTTGGGCCCCAACATAATTTTTGCCGGCGTTGTGTTCCGAGGAATATTCCCGCCGGCCCTCGCGACATACAGGCGTAATTTTCGCCGGCGCCTATGAGCACATATTGCTCGCAAGGTTGATGGTCACTGCTGCGTGCATCAGTAACGCGTTCGTCCAGTCTGCATCAACCGCGCTCGCGCATTTCAGGATGAATAGGAGGACTGACGACGATGATGACGACGACGACGGCGACGATGATGATTACGATGATCATGGTGATTACGATGATCATTACGACGGCCCTCATGAGGTCCATCTGGCCCCTCGAGAGGTGAAGACGAAATACAGCAAACGTCATGGCAATCGCCTTCGTCGTCGCCATTCTCATCATCACCGCCAGCCTCGTCGCTCGCCTCACGTTCATCATTGGCGCCCTCATCATCATCATCATCATCATCATCATCATCATCATCATCATCATCATCATCATCAGCATCAGCGTCAGCGTCAGCGTCAGCGTCAGCATCAGCATCAGCATCCTCATCGTTGTCATCGCCATCATCACAATCGACTTCATAATACGAGCAATCACCCTCGCGTCCTGCACAGCCTCTCTCCTCGCGTCATCGTCACCAGCCTCGTCGCTTGCCTCGCGTTCATCATTGTCGCCGTCATCACCATCAGCGTCATCATCGTCGTCATCGCCATTATCACAACCAGCTTCATAGAACTAGCAACCACCCTCGCGAACTGCATAACCTTTCTCCTCGAGCCATCGTCACCAAGACAACATCCTCCTGTTCACCACCGCCACATCATGGTCTTCAGTAATATCACCGTCATCGTGGTTAGCCGCGACCCTGAAATGATGCATAATTTTTGCCGGCCCTTGGGCATCGTAATTTTCGCCGACCCGAGAATCTGGCCTTGGGATCATTTTCGCCGGCGCAGCACCCCCCACGACGTTTGCCCCCCCCCCCCCCCCACACCCCACCCCACGACGTTTGCCCCCCCCCCCCCCCCCCCACACACACCCCACCCAACCCCACCCCACGTTAAATCAGGGAGATAGAGTAGCGTGTCGTGGCGGCGGCCCAGCGACACGCCATGCCATGCGAGCGGATGGCGTGTCGCTCCCCTGCGCGAGAAGGGAGGCTGGAAACGGCTCGGGACGCTGACGCTTGGAAATGGGGAATTGGATAGGGTGTCGCGCCGAAGCGTGGTGGGCAGCGGTAAACGCTGCCCCGCAGGACTGGATATCCAGGCGCCTCGGCATCGAGGACGGCGAGCAGGCGGCGCAGGAGCCGAGCTCGCGGGGCACCGCGAGCGGCGCGGTCCAGAGCAGCGAGAGGCGCGCCCAGGGGCGCGCGCCCAAGGATCGGGAGGGAACCAAGACGCACACCCACACCGACACAACTGATCGTCGATTCCAGGGAAAACATGGGAAATACGGTAGGTAACGTGGAGAGACGCGAACGTCGAGAACATATGGAAGAAATGGGGAATCCGCGGATTTGTGCGTCTTTATGTGTGTGGGTCCTTGGGCCCCTGCAGAAATCGTAACCTAGAGATCCGACGCATTGACAAAAAACAAAATCCAGACGGATGTCGTTTCGCCGTTTCGGCCTCTCGGGGCCCTGGCCGTGGGACCGTAACAAAAAAATGACCTGGGACGAAAAACCAGACCCGGGGAGGTGGTCGAGAGGTCGGGGGTCGAAATGGAAACTCGGAGGTGGAAGGGGTAACGATGCCAGCACCTTTGCCTCGCTTTCGCCACTTGGGGTGTTCTGGGAGGCCCGTCGCCAAGGTCCCCCGCGAGAGGTCGGGGGAGTGGCGGCATTACCGGTGCCTTTGTGGGCTCCTGGTCACGCGTGGCAGTCCCGGTGGTAAGGCTTCGGGTTGCGCGCAGACGCCCACCTCGCGGGTAGCTCCAGCTGGCCTGGGCCCCCCGAGTAGGCCAGGGCGACCTCAACACCAGAACCCTGCGGCGCGGAGCGCCCCAGGGGAGCCGCCGGAGGCGGCGCCAGGATGTTGAGACCGCCTTGGACTAATCGGCGGGCCTGTCGAGGCCAGCTGGGACTACCAGGGGGGGTGTTGTCTACGCGCAACCCGAAGCCTTACCAAATCCCAGACATGCGCCTGTCGAGAAAAGATCACGGCGCAAGATCTTTTGACAGTCTTCGGCCTCTGAGGGCCCTCGCCAGGCATTGGGACCGTCAAGGAACGACTCAGGATACAATGCCAGCCACAGGGAAAGGGTCGGGACTTCTGGAGGGCCGCTTATTAAGAAAATCAAGGTGTCGAATCTCTGGGGGCCACAGCAGTTTCTGTCCAATTTGAAAACAGGATTTGCCGCGGGCGATGTCAGTCTGGGGCAAGCGTTGCCGGTTCAACGGCAGCCGCCTTCGATTTGGGACAGCATTTTTGCTGGTGGGTATCGCTCCCCATTTCTTCCGTCTCCCATTTGCTTTTTTTCTCCTTTCTGTGCAGTCAGTTACCTGACGTCGCGTGCAGTTGACGTCCCAGCTTGTGTTGTGCTGCGAGAGTGATTTGGGATCGCTGCTTCGGCATGGGTGGTACAGCGCTGCATGTGCAGCATCGACTTTCACCTCTCTCGATTGGCGTTGCGGATCTTCTTCGCGGTCTCTATTGTTTGATTCGTGATGCGAACAGCCGGCGCCCGCGTTAATGGGGTAAGCCCTGAATCATATAGATGTTGCTGCGACAAAGTTCAAAAGCGTTCCCTTTCCGGGCGTCCGAGAAGGAGGCCGCTCGCGAGGGCTGGTCGCCCTGCAAGCTTGGCGCGGAGCTGCCGTGCTCGTTCTGGACCGAGGCCTACTCCTGCTCCACCACCTGGAGCCAGGCATGGCCGCCTGCGATGTGATTTGATGCGATTCGATTCGCGGTCTAGGCCCGCGATTCCGATTCGATTCGCTTCGGCTCGCTTCACTGGCACCGGCCAGGGCCAGCCAGAGCCACGGGAAGCGATCCGACTCGGGAGGATTCGTTGGCGATCCGACCCGCTTCCGATTCCGTCCGACTTCGCTATTGGATCCTGCTCAGTCCTGCCAGGCGTGCCCGGGGGTCGACAACCCGGCCGGCCCGCAGTATAACGACGCCGAGATAGGCACAGCCTGCCCGCACCAGTGTGCCGAGGCGGCCGCCAGCGCGGCGGTGCCAGGGCCGCCACCGGCGGCGGCGAGTGCCAGCGGGCATGGCCACCTGTACCCAGCCCTGTGCAACCTGACAAAGCTGGCCTCCCGAGGGGGGAACCACGATTGCCATGGCCAGGATGTCGCGGGATTTTGTCGTTGCCGATCTCGGTCATGGTGCATGCCGGCTGTCACCGATTTGCGAGGATGGCCCACGGATTGGCGATTACCCAGATGGACGATGCCCAAGCTCGGCACTGACGTTTCCGCGTTCAGTTTTGGTCATGGTCCTCGCTGTCTCTCCTTCCAGGCCTCCTGCTCGATGTGGGCGTCGGCCTACCCCACCTGCGCGGTGACGTGGGCCGAGGCCTGCCCAGGACGGGGGGAAGAGGTAAGGCTCGAGTGTGCTGGGGCTCGGGCTTCTGGCGTTGACGGTCCTGGCACGAGCTGTGGCGGTCCAGCTTTTGTGGGATGGTTTCGGCAGAAGTCCGCGTCAAATTTCAGTCCAAGTCTAGTCATGTTTCTGAAGGCGTCGCCAGGCAAGTTCGAGTCCTAAAGACTCCAGTCTTGAGTCTCCCCGACATCGACTAGACGTAGGAGTGACCTTTCGCCGGAGTGGCCTTTGGTGCGGGCCAAATGGGGCCCCCCAATCGCCGAACGTGAGGCAGCAGTGGCGTCTCGCGCTCTTGTGTTTGCCCCCCCCCCCCCCCGCGGCCCCCAGAAACCGCGCACCAAAGGTCACTCTTACCCAGGGTTAACTACTCTTGCGTGCAACCGACGACAGGAGTGGACAACCCAAGCGGCTCGCAGTACAATGGCATGACCGTGCAGCAGAGCTGCCCGCACCAGTGCGCCGAGAAGGCCGCGGCCAAGGCGTGCATCGGCACAGAAAATGGTGCTACCGACGCCGGCGACTACGACTGCAAGCTGGGCTACACATTGCCCAACTACTGCGGGTTCTACGACGACAGCGACTTCACGGCCGCAGAGATGTGCTGCGAGTGTGGCGGGGGCGGTCTCCTGGATCACGGCCCCCGGGGCGCGACGCAGGCAGACCAGGCAGAGGAGCCAGAGGAGCACGAGGAGCCGACTACACGCGCAAAGGCGACCCTCCGCCAGAGTGGCCTTTTCGGTGCGGGCCCGCAGGGGTCTCCCCAGCACTGGCCCGCTCGCTCGGCTCTGCCCCCACCCCCCCCGCCCCACCGGTCCCGACCCCCTCGGCGACCACACAGTGTATGGTTACGCCGGGGTGTGGTTTGCGATCGGCACCTTTGGGGCCTGGGGGGCCTCCCCGGGGCGCGGCGGAGAGCTCTGCCGAGGTCCTCGCCCAGCCCCCAGGGTGACCCCACGGTGCCGGTTGCAAACCACACCCTTTGCAAGCCGCACCTTCCGGAGTTGCCGACCCCTGTCCTGGGTATCATTCTTCGCCCCCTGAATTATTCTTGATGGTCCTGGGGCCCGATGACGGGTCCCAGCCAGCGGCCGAAGCCGGGGAAAACGCCCAGATGGAGAAAACAGATCGTCGGAGCGGGTAAGGCTCGTCGGGTTGAGAACGGACAGCCTCCCAGGTAGTCCTGGCTGGCCTCAGCAGGCCCCCCGAGTAGTCTAGTCCCAGCTGGCCTCAACAGGCCCACCGAGTAGTTAGCCTGGGGCGGTCTCAACACCCCAAGCCTGGGGCGCGGAGAGCGCCCCGGGGGCGCCGCCAGAGGCGGCGCCAGAGGAGACCACCACGGACTATCGGGGGGCCTGTGGAGGCCCGCCGGGACTGCTCGGAGGGCCCTCCGAGGCCAGCCAGGACTTCGGGTGGTGCAGCCTGCGCCGAGCCCGAAGCCTTCTCGGGGTCACTCCCCGCGTGCGTGTACGGTAGGTTCGCGCGGCGTTGGCGCGCTGACGACGCTGGCGAAGGCGTTCGAGGGTTGAATTCCACATGATAGAACGGCGCGGAAGCACTGAGGGACGCGGTAGCGCCACAGGACCCGACGGAATTCAACCTTGAACGATCGGGGCCGCGCTCGGTTCAATGTTGAACGACCGACGCGGTGTCAAAAGTTTCTGCGCGCGCCGACGCCGCTCGAACTTGCCGTAGTCGAAGGAGGCGCCGCCGCCCGCCTCCCCGCCGCCGCTGCCGCAGCAGCCCGCGCTCCCGCCGGTGCCCGCAGTGCCGGGGGTGCCCTCGGCGGCCTCCGCGGCGTTGCTGTCGAGGGCCGCGGCCGGAGACCAGAGGGTCTTGGTCTCCTCCACGGCCGCGTTTGCCGCCGGCGACATGGTCACCATAGAAGGTGGTCGAAGATGTCGAGCTCTGGTGGTCAGCGCTGGACTATCTTGACGGATATTCCTTCGATTATTATGTCATCCGTATTGTTTGGTTCTTGTTTGATTTTTGGTTAACTATTGTGTGACTGTTCGTCTGTTTCTTCCCAAATCCGCCTATAGGAGGACATGCCCGACCGAAGAAAAATAACGGCACAACAAAGAAGTTTCCGCGCGGGTGTCTTGGCTAGGCGCTGTGCCTCCCTATGGCGGCGCTTCCGGCGGCTTCTGGCGCCGCCCCTGGCGCGCGGAGTCCAGCGCCGATCCAGTAACCCCGCTCGGAGCTCCGAAGTTTGTTGTTCCCCGTAGGTGGCGCGGCCAGCGAGACCATGACGATATATCTTGCCGATAGCGAGCCCCTGCACCTCCAGGTCAAGGCCGGGCTGCACAGCGCGTACCCCGTGGGCTCGATCATCACGGAGAAGGTCCCGGCGAAGACATATTGGTGCCACGACCAGATGAAGTTCGATTGCGGAGTTTGAAAGAGAACATATAGCACAGGCAGCAAGTTTTGGAGCTCCGCGCGGAGCTCCGAAAGCTTTAGTGTTGACACTGTTGATTGTTCCTCCAGGAGTTTGGACCGCATCGTTCCCCTGCACCTACTCCTACAGCTCCGTCTGCCAAGGCAGGGACTCGCCGGTTGGCTCCGCCCTCAACGGCGTCGCCCTGTCGGTGATGTGCCCCGCCGAGTGCGGGCTGCCGAAGGCCACGACATCGGCGACCACCACGTCCACCACGACCACCACGACCACCGCGACGGCCCTTCCCACCGGCCCTGCGACGACGGCGGGGGCCCAGCTGGGGCCGACCCAGACCTTCCCCGAGAGGGCCGTGGAGCCCGTCCCGCTGCCTTTGGTGACGCCTGAGGCGGACGCCACGGCCGCCCTCCCCCTCGCCGCCGCGCCCGAGGTGGAGGCCGGGAGCCAGGGCGTGGCCGTCGCGCCTGCGCAGTGGGCGTGGATCAGCAACTTCCGCATGGCGCACAGCAAGCCGCTGCCGAGCGGGGGCTATGCGAGTCACGCCGTGTACCTGGGCACGGCCAGGTTGGTGGGCGAGACACAGCCTCCTCCTTCCGATCTATCTCCTCCTCCTACTCCTCCTCCCCCTTCCTATCCCCCTCCTCCTGCCCCTCCTCCTCCTTCCCCCCCCTCTTCCTCCTCAGCTTCAGCTGCCTCCCCTCCCTCTCCTCCCCCTCAGCTCTCGGCAGGGCGCCCGGCGCCTCCGCGGCCTCGCGGGCCGGGCCCCTGGGCCGAGACCCCGGGGATACGGGGCGTTGTTGTCGCAGATACACCGCGCGGAACGTATCCGTGCGAACGCGTGTCCGTGGGATCGCACCCCAGAGTCCCGACCGCGAGGGCGCGGATGCAGATGTGTTCGCCACTCGTGAGGTCCCACGCGGAGGCCGAACGGCTGGTGCAGGCATCGAGCAAGGGGCCATTCGTCTCCCTGAACTGGCGGCGCCCAGAGCCGGCGGACGACCCGACCGCGGACGGGTCGGTGTACGGCATCACCACGCAGGAGGGCTGGCAGGGAGAGGGCGACCAGATCCATGACACCGCCCTCCGCGTCCAGACGGAGGAGACACCTTCCAGAGGAGGAATCTTCCAGACGTTGTCCACCCTCTCCCGCGGGGTCGTTGCCGACAAGAGGGCCCCCGACTTCTCGACGGTGCTGGAGCTCTCCGGCGGCCAGGCTGGCCTGGAGAAGCAGCTGGAGAAGTCCGCCATCCCCGCCGACCAGGACGAGGGCGATGCTGCAGAGGCGCGGGGCTCCGTCCTGGACTCCAGAGGAGGACGAAGTGAGACAGCGGCAGTCGGCCTTCGTGGGGGGGGGCCCTCGTCGCCACGGCAGGACGCAGCTCGGCGAGCTGGTGCGTTTGCACCCCAGGAGGAGGTCCCGGGACCGGCCTTGAGCTGATATTGTCTCCACGTGCCCTGCTCAGAGGACTTCGACCGCGCGGAGCGGCACCCCGTCGCCAGGTCCGAGGAGGCCAGCGATGCAGGGCCTATTTTCGCTCCGATCGACCCCTGGTGTAGGCCAGCCCGATCCAGTCCTGCTCCGCAAATCTGCATGGTGGGGACTGATGTCTGCACGGCGTCGCTTTGTGAATCCTGGCGCAGCTGGTCGGTCCAATTTTTATATCGATTCCGTGCCGATGTGGCCTGACCCGACGCACATTCCGATTCGATCCGGATTTCTTGGGGGGTACTTCATGGGAGTTTTGCGTGTCCTCGGAATTCCGTTTTTGGAGTAGCGCACTAGCGTGCGCTAATGTCTTGCAATCGATGGGACAGCGCCGACTTAGCGTAGACTAGCGCCGGTTTCGCGTCGACTGGCGTCGATTAGCGTCGACTCGCAGGAGCCAGCAAGACGGCATGTGAGGCTCCCACGAGTTGCCACAATGGTTCGATGCTGACTGATCCTGGCGATGCGGAGGCCGGCGAGGAGGGGGCCGCCGCCGCAGCCGGAGAGGCGGACGGCGAGGCGGCTGGTGCCGCGGAGGAGGCAGGGGAGGGCAGCGGCCAGGACTTCTGGCGGCGCGCACTGGGGGCTGCGCGAGGGGGGAGGCCTTCCAAGAAGGCGTTTTGGGGGGGGTCTTACAGTGGAGACCCATGCCAAGGAACACCCTGCTTGCCTCCAGGGTGCCCTGGGTTTCTTGGGTTTCGGTGGTTTTGCTGTGAAAAGCGTGACGTTCCCAGACCAAAAATCAATGAACCCCCTGGGGTCTCATGGTTGGGTTTCTTGTGGAAAGTTTCTTGTGGACTGGCCTCCACTGAACAGTCAACCCGCAACGTAAGGATGAGCGACTTTCCAAGGTTACCCTTGCATCCTTCACCTTCGGCCCATCCTTGGCCACTTTCGCTGGCCGCGCTTCGCTCGAAAATTGTCGACATGGCCTTCAAGGCCCTCGCATCCTTACCGCGCATCCTTTCTATATGGGTTGACTGTGGAGCCCTCTGGCGTCGCGATTGTTTCACGCCAGGTGATTGCGCCCGGATTCCAGACATCCGGCGTTTCGAAAAAATCAGGACGGTGGTTTTCATAGTGTTCGGCCTTTGCAGAACCGTCAGAACATTACACGGGATGAAAAACTGGTCCCGGGGAAGTGGTCGGGAGGTCGGGGGCCTGTGTCTTCAAAAAATCGAGACGCCGGATGTGTGGGATTCGGGCCTCGGGGCCTTCGCAGACCGATCTGACTCGAGAAGTGCCTCTGGAAGATGGGGCTGGGGCTCCAGTGGTGATTTCCAACGATGTTGCATTTCTCCGCGACGTCGGATCTCAGGGAAGGCAGGGGACGTCTTGGAAGGGCATGGAGGATTCTGAGAAGAGTTCTTACTGCCTGTCTTCTTGGAGGCACCAACGTCTTCTTGGAAGGTCGTCCCCTACGCACGCCACCGCCTCGTGCGCGCCGCCAGAAGCAGGAGCAGGAGAGCGAGGAGGAGGCGCAGGAGAACGACTCCTCGCGCCGAGGCGCAGCCAACGCCGAAGGAAGAAAGAGCAGTGGGGAGGATCGGAAAACAAAAAAACGGCATGAACATCCTGTCTCGGCGCTCCGCTCGGATTTCTTGGATCTGCGCTGGGCGTCCCTGGCGGCGCCTCAGGCGGCGCCTCTAGCGCGCTCCGCCAGCGCAGATCCGAGAAATCCGCGCGGAGCGCCGAAAGTTTATGTTTGTGCCGCTCTTTGCGCTTCTAGAGGAGTCTGAGGCCGTGGACAAGGCGCAGGTTGGCAAGGACCAGTTGGACACTGCCTCGGAGGAGGCGGCAATGGACGTGGCGGCCCTGGCAGAGGCCGTCATCGTCGACGTCGACAGTGACAAGACAGTCAAGGGGGCGCCCAAGGAGAAGGCAAGTAGGACGGCCGAGGATACGGTCGGCGAGTCGGCCGACGAGGCCGAGGGCAGTACTGACGAAGCTGCCGATCAGAAGGCCAGGGAGGAGGCCGACGAGGGGAGCGAAGGCACGGCCGAGGAAGACTCGGAGGCCGAAGGTTCGGCCGCGGACGAGGCGGAGGAAGAGCCGAGGGCCGCAAGCCGCAGCGGCTCCAGCGAGGCCGACAGCTCGGAGGAGGCCGACGTGCAGGATGCGAAGGCCGCGTGCTTCCCAGGGGTGGTCCTGGCCCAAGGTGGCCCCAGCTGTTCTCGGCGAGGCGCAGACAGCGTCCACAGCACCCCCGACGAGGCCCAGAGCCCACCAGCGGCGAACGTATCCACATCCACGCCCTTGGCGGTCTGGATTCCGGGGCGCGATCCCGCGGATCATCCGCAAAGAAAACGTTCCGTATCCGCGGGTTCGCTCCAGGGGCCCAGCCCTCGAGGCCGCGGATACAGATATGCCTTACGCTCGCGAAGAGCCCAGATGGCCTCGTGGGCCCCGAATTGCGGGAGAAGTTGGGGACATTTTGGGCCAGGGCCATCTCTAGCAGCACCCGAGGAGGGGCCGGAGGCGAAGGAGGACGACCAGAAGGACGTGATGGGAAAGACCCGCCCCGAACACACCACATGAGTACAAGCCTTCGGATCCCCACGCGGATTTCTTAGATCTGCGCTCGAGCCCTCCTGGCGGCCTGGCGCACTCCGCACGCCAGGGAGGAGGGCCCAGCGCCGCTCCAAGAACTGGGCGCGGGCATCCGACAGCTTGCGTTTACGATTTGCCTGTGCAGCAGGGCGCCGCGGAGAGCGCGCTCGCCTCCGTCTCGGACGTCGAGCGGCTCGAGGCGCAGACCGAGTTCCTCGCGGAGCAGATCAAGGGCCTGCTGGGAAGCAAATGATTGGAGCCTCGAGTACCTTCGCAATCCCATCTCCAGAGTGCATTGGCGTGCGCTAGCGTGTGGTAATCGATGGGACAGCGCTGATGTAGCGTCGATTAGTGCCACTCGGCGTCGATTCGCAAGAGCCAGAAAGATGGTACTGGAGGACCCCATTAGTTGCCACAGAAGGTCTGGATAGCAGCGTCGACCGCTTCTTCACCCGCGTCCAGAAGCGCGCCACCTACTTCAAGGACCAGGCGGTCGCCAGAAGCCGGAGGCACTGCGTCCCCGACGCCGAGAAGTTGTCGACGTTCGAGTTTGACATCACCCACGCCATGAACGCCACCTTCAAAGACTGGGGCGCGGTGCTCCGGGCCTTCGATGCTTTCGGGAGGCAGCTCAGGACCAGAGGGCGCCAGCAACATGCCCGTGGACGCCGATCCCGGTTCAGCCGATCTCGTGCCCAGCAGGGGTATGTATGTTTTGCTGGCCGAGCCAGGAGAGGGCGCATGTGCACCCCTCCTGGGTCGAGGCTGGGCTTGGCCGGGACCGGCGCAGGGGTGTATATTATGACGAGCTGGCGCCATGGCCCCAGGAGCCTGGAGGGGTTCGAGGGCAGCGACCGCGCCGGCTTCCAGGAGCAGGCGTCGGAGCTGGCGGAGGAGCTTAAGCTCATGACCCCCGAGGACTCGGAGCACTGCAGCTTCCGCGCCCTACACAAGGACGTGCTCTCCCTCGGCAGGGCGCCGCTGTCCCTCGCGTCGGTGAAGCTGACGCAGTTCAGGCAGGCCTTCCTCGGGTGCCAGGAGGTGATCGACGCGGACCTCGACAAGTTCTTCGGGGCCCTCGAGGCCTTCGCCGGGCGGCTCTCCAGCGCCAGGGAGGCTGTCCCGGACGCCCCCGCGCGGCTGGCGAAGAGGGCGGGCGAGATCATCCACGGCCTCACCGACGAGGCTGTGACGCTCTCCTTCAAGATCCACGACGCCTTCTTCCAGTTCTCGCAAGTCGTGGAGAGGGCTGTGGACGGTGCCAGGCCGACCATGAAGCGTTGCGGCAGCTCCCACCACCGGAAGTGAGAGCCGCGGCCAATCTGAGATCCGGCCACCGACCCGACTTGCGTCGGCGGCGTTCGCAATGTGTGGAGAGGGCTGGGTGGAGGCCGAGCCTCACTTCGTCCCTGTGGCACGTGGCTGGCCCAGTAATTCAGAACGCCTTTTGGTCTGAGACGCAGTGGAACTATCCAACCATAGATGTACAGCTCAAAGCAGAGCCGCGATGTCTGTACAACACTGGATAGCAGGTCGAGAGCGAGCATTTTTTTCTCGGAAAAAGGGCAGAGCGAACGTTCTCTTGAAGTGCATCTGGGATGACTACGATAGCCCAGCACAGTCCAGGCCCCTCCACCCCCTGCCACTGCCAGACCCAAGGCGGCAACAGGAGGCACGAGGAGGAGGGAAGGAGAGAATCGGGGTGCAACCCTGACAAGACCCATCCCAGCCTGTGCGCCCTTTTCAACGAAGGTCACCTGGTCTTCCACATTACCGCGAGGGAGGGAGGGATACGAGCCACGTGTGAGGGAGAGCGACAGGATGAGGATGAGGAGGAGGGGGAGGAGGGGGAGAAGGAGGAGGAGGAAGAGGAGGAGGAGGAGGAGGAGGAGAAGAGGGAAGGGGCACGAAAAAGGCAGAGCTCGGCGGTACGCAGACCGCGTCTCCCTCGGTTTCTGATCCTCAGATTCTCTCCCTCCGTCCTACTGGGCAAACGCTGAGACGTGTCTCACACTCTGCACTCGTCTGTCCTACCGCCCTCCCTCCCCTTCACTATAATCATCCTTCTCCTCATCCTCAGCGTGCGCACTGGCTCCATGCCAATGGCACCTGTACCAGCCTGCACCACGCCGCGACGCGAACCAAAATGCACCTTCGTTGCCACTGCCTCCAGCTGGCTGGTTCAAATGGGGGGAGGGCAGACTCTGGGCGCGTGCCTCAGTGGAGCCTCTTTACCAAATCGCAGGGCTCCGCGAGGAGGAGGAGGAGGAGGAGGAGGAGAAGAAGGAGAAGAGGAGGAGGAGAGCGAGAAGGAGGACGTTTTGGACGGTTTGGCCAAGCGCGGCGTGCCGGGGAGGAGAGGGGGAAGGAGACGCACGCCGGCGGCCGCCCACCCACCCTCCACCTGGACTCCATCCAGGGATGCGGAGCTGGGGGAGGACGGCACCGCTGCCTGATCTGCGCGATGCCCGCCTGGGGCCGCAAGCGGAGTTCTCGCCGCGCGGCCAGCATATCTCGGGCTCAGGCGCACCGCGTCCAAGACGCACCGCAGCTCCCGGGACCTCCGGCGCCCTGGCTCTCTCGGCACCCACGGGGCCCTGGGCATCCCGACCCCGAGAGCACGCGCCGCGGGGCCGTGGTCGCGGTCGACAGGCTCGACCCGGCCGGGCCCGCTGCCGCCGGGCCCCGACTCCCCGGGGGCGGCCCCAGCTGCCCGCGCGCTCCCGGAGGAGTCCGAGCCCGTCGCGCTACGTGCGTCGCGGTCCAGACTCCCCAGACGTCGGGCAATTCGAAGAGATCGAGACGGCGTGTTTGTCAGAGTTGTCGGCCTCTCGGGGCCCCTATTCCAGGCCTCGGGGCCGTTCGGGATGGAAACCAGTCTGGGGGTAGTGGTCGAGAGTTGTGATGTTCCAACCTACTTTAGACTGAATCACCAGAAAAACTGTCGTGCACCAAGAAAGTATCGAAACCGGAGGGTTTTCACGCGTCGGGCTTTTGGAGGCGATCCTCGTTCGACATTGTTTCGATATTTTCCTGGGTGCTCGAAATTATGTATGGGATTTGGTCCTTGAGTACGATGGGGGCAACATGAGTCGAGAGGTCGGTCTCACAGAAATCAAGACGCCGCATGTCTAGATGAGGAGCTGCCCTGCGCAGGCTGGCAGCGCGAGGGCGCGGGGCGAACAGCGCACTGTTTGGGAACGAGGCGCGAGGTGTTGGTGGCCCTGGGCTGTCCTGATGTCCCAGACCCCCGGCGGAATGTTTTTTCCTTCATCATCATCACCACCACCATCATCAGCATCACCATCATCATCATCATCATCATCATCATCATCATCATCATCATCAGCATCATCATCAGCGTCATCATCACCAGATGTAATGATTGTTCCATAACGTCGGCCCCAAGAGGTCTCGACCCGTTCCCCGGAACTCGTTTTTCATCCTGAGCCGTGTTCGACGGCCCCGAAGCTTGGTAGAGGGCCCCAGGAGGCCGATCATCGTCCGAAGCCTTCCGTCGTGCTTCGTGGAATGACCCGACGGGGCCGGGGGTCCTCCCGGGGCGCCAGAGGACTGGGTCTCGAGTCACCGCCCGCGGCCCACGGCGATGAGCGCCGCCTCGTGGGCGCCCGCAGACCGCGCTGCGGAGGAGGCCGCCCAGGGCTGGGTGGACGAGGAGCGGCCGCGTGCCACGCGGGGCCTCGGGACAGCAGCCTCGCATCGCCACGGAGGGGTGGGGCCTTGCTCGGAGGAGGAGAAGGGGGCGATACCGCTGCCCCCGCCTCGTGTGCGTCTTTCTCGGCCTCCTGGGAAGACCTCGTCGCCACGTCCGGGTTCTCTTCGGAATTCTGGTCAGAATGCACCCCCGGAGAGGCCCCCAGACATCCGGCGTGTCGAAAAAATTGAGAGACGAAGGTTTTTCATCGTTTTCGGCCTCTGGGGGTCCTCACCGGCCGGGCCGCGGGGCCGTCAAGAAACAGCCCAGGACCAGAAACGGGAGGTCGGGCCCGTGTCTAGAACAAACATCGAGACGCCGGATGTCTGGGACTGCCACGGAGGAGGGGGGCCAAGCAGAATGTAGGAAGCGGGTCCTGAAGTGTTTCGCATTCCGTGTTTCCGAGGCCTTCTCGGGGAAGGGCTCTCGGGATGAGTCGGATACCCTCCAAAGGTGCGGAGACCACACCGTGTTGTGAACCGGTGTGGAGTCGGGGCGACCGCATGTTCTTGAGACTTTCTTGTGCAACTGAGGCCTCCAAGGTCCCAAAACGGTGCAGCGTCGGACAGTGTGGTGAGGCCTTTTGAGGAATTCGAGGTCACCGCACGGTCTGTCACCGCACCCTCTTCAGGCCCCACATGACAAGCTGGTCCTGGGAAAAGCCCCAGGATCCAGGACCTGTTTCCCTCAGGGCCCTTTATCCGTAATGACAATTCGGAGCAGTCGGCGGTAACGGCGTCGTCGCAGAGATCCAACGCCTTCGCTTCCAGCATCATCCACGAAAGAGCACGGGAATGGAATCAATCATCATGGATAGCAGTGCTTGGTTGGTTCCAATCAGTCGACTCAATCATACACGGCAGTTTGGTGACGGTAATGGTTGCGCAATGCGTGGAGCCACGATGTAGACGTTCAAGTGCTATGGGGGCTATACCACGGTCAATCAATATCGTTGCGTACGGATGTCCCGAGCAGATAAATTGGCATGTTAAGCGGCACAAAACAGTGCGCACCTCTTGTAGCAACGTGGCGTAACAAACATTCAATGTGCACATGTGAGGTATTCTGCAGCATCAAGATACAACCTGATTATCCCAGTGCGACCCTACCTAGGAGTTGGAGCCCCTAGGAAAGCAGCATTAGTAGTAACAGTAAAGCTAAGCTAAAGCTAAGCTAAAGCTAAGCGAAAGCTAAGCTAAGGCTAAGCTAAAACTAAGCTAAATCTAAGCTGAAGCTAAGCTAAAGCTAAGCTAAAGTCAAGCTAAAGCTAAAGCTACATATAAGCTGAATATAAGCTAAAGCTAAGCTGAAGCTAAGCTAAAGCTAAGCTAAAGCTAAGCTGAAGCTAAGCGAAAGCTAAGATAAAGCTAAGGCTAAGCTAAAGTTAAGCTAAAGCTAAGCTAAAGCTAAGCTGAAGCTAAGCTAAAGCTAAGCTAAAGCTAAGCTACAGCTAAGCTGAAGCTAAGCTAAAGCTAAGCTGAAGCTAAGCTAAAGCTAAGCTAAAGTTAAGCTAATGCTAAGCTAACACTAAGCTAAAGCTAAGCTAGCACTAAGCTGAAGCTAAGCTAAAGCTAAGCTAAAGCTAAGCTAAAGCTAAGCTAAAGCTAAGCTAAAGCTAAGCTAACAATAAGCTGAAGCTAAGCTAAAGCTAAGCTAACACTAAGCTAAAGCTAAGCTAAGGCTAAGCTAACACTAAGCTAAAGCTAAGCTAAATCTAAACTGAAGCTAAGCTAACGCTAAGCTAAAGCTAAGCTAAAGCTAAGCTAACACTAAGCTGAAGCTAAGCTAAAGCTAAGCTAAAGCTAAGCTAACACTAAGCTAAGGCTAAGCTAAAGCTAAGCTAAAGCTAAAGCTAAAGCTAAAGCTAAGCTAAAGCTAAAGCTAAGGCTAAAGCTCCCAGGGGACTGGGGGAACCGCGGGGTGGGGACTGGGGGAACCGCCCGGGGCGGTTTCCATTGCCCGGCCCTTTAAGCAAAGAGAGTAAGAACCCTTCTAGGCAGAGCCTAGGTAGGGAATTAATACAACAACCCTACGATTTGCAGACGACGCGCTTCTGGTCAGCCATCTGCTACTCGGACTCACGGAGATTCTGGAATGTCTTGTCTTCCATGCGAATCCTCATAGTTTCCAACATCTATATGGATGCATATTCCGTCCAATTTCCCGCTGGCGTGGCGAAGTTGCAGCCCTCAAAGCGCGGCCCACGCATCAACATCCGAACTCTACACGACAACGGTGCAGTCAAATACTGTTGACGGAAATCATTTTTGACGGTTCTGCTCCAACAAATAGACCACCGCATGCAAGCAGCCGCGGTTGGCTTTCCTATCTTAACGGCGGAACTTACGAAAAAACATCAAATTACCCTTGAAACACCGTCTTCGTCTAGTGCAAGGGATTGTCACCCCGATTGCGCTCGACGGTTGCTTTGCTCGGCACACCACAGCGCCACTCAAACGACAGCTTCTGCAGACTCCGCGCATGCATGGCTTGGTATTGAATACCCTAGAAGGGTTTCAAGGTGGTCGCACAACCTCTCCGTTCCTTCCCCTCCGGATCTCTTGCATGGCCGGTAAGTCGTCAAGACAGCCCATTCTTTCCGATGTCCAGCAGTTCGAGTGATTTGGGCCGCGCGGTTGTTGACAGTGGCCCACCTATTCGCGCAGATTTTTACAATGATGAAGACAGCCCAGGTTCATAATTTTGGGTGGGCTAAGTGCGACGAGCGTCATATCGAGCAAAATACCTTCTGCGACAACACGATGTTGAAGACCGAGTGGCCACACAACGCCGGCTGACCAAAAGATGTATTGCATTGGTTGTTCCACACCCGCTTTCGCGATGAACCCCACAAGCATTACAATGGCATCCCCTCTGAACAGCGACACGCGGATCCTATTGCAGCCACGATGGACAAAACAAATTATGGAACGTTCTTTTGTCTTTTGTACACCGTTTCATAAACGCTTCATGGATCAAACATTTGTGGTCGACATTGACAGGCAGTCAACCGAGGCACGGCGAGATCAATACTGTTATTTGGCAAACCGCTTCCATGGATGATGAATTGTGGATGATGCCACTCGGAAAAAGTGCCAGGACATGTAACATGAGAGGCTGGATCCGCGACTTGTTAGGTTGTCTTGGGTTCCGATCTCTACTAACCCATCCAAACTGGCGTTGCTCTTCCCGTTGCAGTATTTCCGTGTGGACGCCCGTCCCGTCCTGCCCAACCTCGTGAGACATCACGGATACGTGTCTCCATGTGTTGTTTGCTTCCAGTGGAGGTGTTAGGGATTCGGGACCGCCAGCAAGAAATATCCAGAATGACAAGTGGCCCCCAGGAAGGGGCGAAGACCTTTGGGGCGGGGCGCGTACGAAAAAAACACACGACGTCGGAGGTATTGGCCATCATCGTCGGCTCCGTGGTGGTCGTCGCCGTTACCGTCGTCGTCTTTATTGTTGTCGTCGTCGACGTCCTCACTCAGAACTCCTGCCCCCCGGCCAAGTAGGACGAGGACGAAGACGACGATGGCGAGGACGACGAGGAGAATCAGGTCGCGGGTTCAAGGATGAGTGCAAGGTGCATGGTGGCCAGAGGAGGGCGGTGAGGAGGAAGACGCCGCCGACGAGGAAGCGGGCGAGGTTTAAGGCGAGGAAAGCGAGGGGGAAGGAGGAGGATGGAGAAGGAGCAGGACAGGGATAAGGACGAAGAGTTGGAGGCGCAGCAGGAGGTGGGGAGGAGGAGGCGCAGGAAAATAAAGCGACGAGGTGGTGGAGGACGAGGAAGACAATGAGGGCGATGAGGGCGGTGGAGGGAAGAATCAGGAAGCGCTGGGATGAGAGCGCAGGTAGAAGACGAGCTGTTCCAGATGCGCCCCCCCCATCCCCCCTTGGAGGAGCAGCAGCCGATGTTCGCCCCCGGGACGTCGAGGAAGCCGAGAGTCAGCGCTCCCGAGGTCTTCCGTGGGAGATTTGGCAGAACGCCGTAGGGCGAGGAGGAGGAGAGGGAGAGCGAGGGGGATCGTGGGTCAAGGTTTTGGTTGCAATGCCTCAGGGAGGCCTCCGTCGAAATGGCTGCCTCGCTCGTACTCATCCCCCCCTCTTCTCCATTCCTCACCTCCTCCTCCTCCTCCTCCTTCTCCCCACCACGTTCCCTCACCTCGTCTCACTCCCTGTCTTCCCCCTCGGTCCTTCTCTGTACCTTGCCCTCCCCCCATCAGTCCCATCCTCCCTTCGTTCCTCCCCTCCCCCCCACAGATATTTCTCCTCGATCTCCTTCCCCCTCCTCCCCCTCGCCCTCCTCATATGTCTCCCCCTTACGGTATCCTCCTCCCCCGCTCCTCCCCCTTCCCACCACCCTCCCCCCTTGCTCCTCCTCACCCACCTTCTCCCTTGAGATCCTACGCCGCTAAAAAACATCGCGACACATCACGACCGAAAGCCTAGACCTCATCTGACTGCGGCATTATTCGAGCTGGATCGATCTGTGATGGCAACGTTGCCCGAGAGCGGAAAAGAACGCTTGGTGCGAAAACATTGCAACGCCCCGTTCTCAGATATCGTTCCCAAGGTTGACGCTGCTTGGATGTGCTTGTACTTTGTTGCCAAGCCCTAGGGTTCCCCAAACAGTGCTTGCACTTAGGGGTTCTTACTTGGCTTAACCATCTCGGGACCAGGGGCGGCTTTTGCGGGCGGTGCCGCCCGTCGCCGTCCGTCGCCGCCGCTCGTCTCGGGAGCAGTGGCGGCCGTCGCCGTCCGTGCCGCCCGTCGCCGCAGTCGTCGCCGCATAGATTGCCTCACATAGATTGCACCGCACAGATTGCACCCCATAGACTGGCACCGCGTAGATTGCACCATACAGATTGCACCACATAGAATGCACCGCATAGATTGCGCCGCATAGGCTACATTACATAGGTTGCACCGCGTACAGTGCACTACATAGGTTGTACCGCATATATTGCATTACATAGGTAGCATCGCGTAAATCTCACCACGTACATTGCACCGCATAGTCTGCATTGCATAGGTTACATTGCGTAGATTGCACCACGTCGATTGCACCACATCTCTCTCTCTCTCTCTCTCTCTCTATATATATATATACATATTGCATTGCATTGCATTGGTTGCGCCGCGTAGATTGCACCACATAGATTGCAACGTATAGATGGCACCGCAGAGATTGTATTACATAAATTGCATCGCATACATCGCACCACATATATTGCACCGCACTGACTGCAAGAACCTGCTGTTTGGGTCTACGCTGGCTAACATTTGTTTCTTGTGAGTCTCGCTTAATTGAATATTTAGTGCTGTGCCCCCCTCCCCCCCCTGTAGGGCATTCCACTCCATTCTCCCCGCCCGTCCAGGTCGGCAGGCTCAAGTCCAACACGGGGCTGCGCCCCAGTCGCCCGCCGTGGCTCCTCGCGGCGGGCGCCGCGGCGGTGCTGGCGCTGGTGGCCCTCGCGGCGGTCGCGGCCGCCAAGGTCCGAGGAAAGAGAGCGAAGAGAGGGAGGCGGGGGAGGTACCCACACCGCTGCGCATGTCTCGTTTTCCTGTTTTTGGGGCCTCCTAGGACGTTCTCGTCGCCATCGCTGGATTCGCTTCGAGACCCTGGTGAGAACGCACCCTGGGAGAGGTCTGGGGAGTAGCGGTATCGGTGCCTTTAGGTTCCCCCAGAATAGAGGGAGGATGGGGAGGAGGGGGGGGTCCAGATCTCCAGTCGGAGATAGCCAGGATTCTGCGTAAGGGTAGCCCGCCAGTGTGCCGGAGCTTGTCATAGGTTGCCAGGTCTGCCGTAGCTGGTGTGTATCCGGGTGGCGACAGTTCCAGATAGGGGAATGGGGCTGGTGGCATGCCCCCGACACGCATCATTAAACCAGGTCCCACTAAACCGAGTCTTGCCAACGCCCTGTCCACTGCATTGAACAAATCACAGCACGACGGACGTTATTTGGTGCAGGAACGATGAACGCAGGGTGGAGGAAGGGAAAGGAAGGAGGAAGTGCCCCGTTGGGAGACAACCGTGTGAAGAGGGAAGTGGCCCGTTGGGAGACAACCGTGTGAAATTTCTGGAGCGCACCAAACACACGATTTTCAGATGTAAATGTTGCGCCCTGACAATCCTGAACCGGTCCGAAAAATGTCTTGTACGTTAGTACGTTAGCCATGAGAATCCGGAAAACTCTTGCAACTATTTGAAATGAATGCGCGCGGCGCTAAGGCGAGAGCCACATGTTGAAAACCACCCGCCCTCAATCCGTGAAGCTCCTGCACCAGTTTTACAAAGAATGTGCGCGGCGCTAAAGCGAAAGCCGCATTGTGGAAACCATCCGCCCTCAATCCGTGACACTTCTGTAAATTTGGAAACGAATGTGCGCGGCGCTAATGCGAGAGCCAAAGTTTGAAAACCATCCGCCTTCAATCTGTCAAACTCATGCACATGTTTTCAACGAGTGTGCGTGGCGCTAAGGCGAGAACCACATATAGAAAACCACCCACCCTCGATTCGCGAAGCTGCTGCCAGCTTCTCAGCTTCAGGCTCATCAGTGGGAAGGGAAGTCTCAGGCGAAACGACCAGCCCGCCCTTCCGATTGGCGTCGGAATACGACAGGGAGGAGTCAGTCATAATGGACAGCAGTGGGCGATGATGATGATGATGATAATAATAATGATGACGATGATGATGATGATGATGATGATGATGATGATGATGATAAGGAGGAGGGGGAGGTCCTGGAGTCCTTGTCCGTGCCGCCCGTTCCTACTCATCCGTTCCTTGCTCTTTTTCCTTTTTACCATTTTTCGCAGAGCCCGAATCCTTACACCATTATCCTTCCTTTTCTCTCTTCATCTTCCTCCTCCCACGACTACTACTACTACTGCTACTACTATTACTACTACTACTACTACTAATAATAATACTACGACGACTACTACTACTACTCTACTGCGACTACGACTACTGCGGCTACTACGACTACTACGATTACTACTACTACTACTACGACTGCTACTACTACTACTACTACTACTACTACTACTCTTACGATTACTATGAATATTTCCATTACTATTACCACGACTACGACTACGACTACTACGACTACTACTACTACTACTACTACTACTACTACTACTACTACTACTACTACTACTACTACTACTAC